GTAACAACGCAGGGTGCCTTTTGTGTTTTTCAGAGGGTGCTGAACATGTACATGTATACTGTGTAAGTATGTATGATAATCCAATATTAGTTGTTAACTATATAGCAGGACAACGTTTATGTCGAATCTAATAACATGTCTCAATATTGGTTTTAAACACAAGGCTAATACCTAGTAACAACGCAGGGTGCCTTTTGTGTTTTTCAGAAGGTGCTGAACATGTACATGTATACTGTATAAGTATGTATGATAATCCAATATTAGTTGTTAACTATATAGCAGGACAACGTTTATGTCGAAGCTAATAACATGTCTCAATATTGGTTTTAAACACAATGCTAATACCTAGTAACAACGCACTGGGGTGCCGAAAGTTGCGCTTCTTGACTTCTAAAACGGGACAAACCCTTTCCCCGTAGAATCCTACGTGCAACATGTCGACACCTAAGTTGCGGTCAGATTTCCACACCTGAAAGCCTTATAAGTATTATAAACTTAAACGGGTGTGGAAATCTGACCGCGCTGTACCTGCCAGGCAAAAAATGGACGTGTCAATCCGATCCGCTGTAGACCGCAAGTGTCATGTTGGAACAGAGTAAGAAGCGTAAACTTTAGGGTTCTTGAAGTATGTATATTTGTGCATCTGCTGGTATTTTGAATTCGACATTCTGGATCACCTTCTCCACCAGCAGATTTTACAGACCCTGGGTGGACCTCCTAGCTTTGTGTTGATAACTGTTCCTTTTTTTTTAAAGAAGTGGTGATTGACTAAGCAAAAGACTGGACTAGGATGATTAGGGTGCTGATGATGATGATGATGATGATGATGCAGGTTGTAGGCTCTGTCTAGCCAGAAGCATTGGCAGGTGTTCGCGACCAGAAAGCTTTGTAGGAAACAATATCAGAATACATACGCGAGCATATTAAATGCGTTCCGCAGTTACATGAGCAATGTTAAAGCATCTGGTTGAAGACTGATCATGGAAGCTGGCATCGGCAAGCTGGAGTCACTCTTGCTTCATCAAGGATTCCGACGGGCGGTTAATCACCCTTTACGAGGTCAAAGCAGATCAAGTTCATTCGCGTTGAACTTCCCTGTGGTCCCTCCTCAAGCACACTCTACTGTTGATGCCCAGGTAGGTGCAAAGACATCGAACTAAGCTACTGCTTGCTTGATGCCAATCATCTTTTGCCACGGGTTTTGTCAAAACCTGCCCGGGAATCTTTTTCTGGTGTTGGCTCGAACTTGTGAGTGGTGGGTATGGGCAGCTGCTGTTTTGTGGTGTTTCCAGTAGGTTGCTGCGCAGAGGTCCCCTCTTGGGCTATTGTGCGTGGCAAGTATCAAACATAGTCTGTTGATTTTTGTTCATTGTTGTATCCATCCGAGGAATAGAGCATGTTAAATAGAGTAGTGAAGTGTGTTTTGACCCTTCAAACCTTCGGCTAGTGATGCACGTCGCCCAAAACTGGACGTTCTTGAAGGCCCTAAAAAAGAGATACCGCAAGCAAGCAGCGGAGTTCTCAGCATTTACGCTTGCTGAAAACCTAAACGTCGCAGAGAAGGTGACTTTGGCTGCTTTGACACCGGCACGTGTCCATTCGAGTTGGGCACAACCATGTAACGATTGATTCAAGGCACAAGGCAGATGACCGCGCACGTTTGCACATGTTGGCAGACCGAGTTGACCAAGAAGTTTTACAAGACGTATTTGGTTGCTACCAAATCTTAATGTGGAAATCTCCAGAGAGGCAGTGTGTTGTTGACACTTCCTGCTCTTCTGCCTTTGTACAAAATTGTTTAGGAGGCTGTAATTGGCAGCTTTCCATGTTGAAACTCGACCTTTGCAAGTCATCGACAGCGGCAGGAGCTTTGAGACCGCTTTGCAGAACAATAATATGCAATTTGCAGATTTGCACTTCTTTCCAACTTTTTTTAAGTTTAATGAGAGTTAGAGGCATGTCAATCTGCATCGTGGTCAATCGAATATGCATGCTTCTGCAGACACCATTTTGCTCTTGAAAAAAAAATTCATGGAGGGGCTGTGACACTGGACACCGAACTCCTAGGACCTAGACTCAGACCTAGTCAGTTCAGTTCTTCGTTTGTTTACCCACAGCGTCATACCACCTGAAGTATGCCTCTACCTCTCCAGCGACAGTTCAGTTGCTCCGGTTGAAGCCTCAGAAGCCTCAGATCTTTGCTTTTTATTTTTTTCCCAAAACAGGTTTGCCTGTGAGGGGTTCTTACTCCTTTGAAAGGGGTGCTTGACCGGGCCGCATGATTTTAGATTTGCTCGGTGCTCTGGGCCACATGATTTTGCACTTGTCTCCCACTGGGTACATGATTTTGCACTTGTCTCCCACTGGGTGCTCTGGGCCACATGTTTTTACACTTATCTCCTACTTGTCTCCCCACCCTGGGTGATTCTACACTTGTTACACTTGTCTTCCAGTTGTCTCGGTCCCTGCTTAGATGCTCTTGGCCGGATGATTTTACCCTTGTCTCCCACTTGTCTCCCTGCTTCTTTCCATTCTTGTTATAGACACTCGTCTCCCACTTGTCTCGGCCTACTCTGGATACACTTGGCCGGATGTTTTTACACTTGTCTCGACTTGTCTCTTTGCTTGTCTCCCTGCTTAGATACTCTTGGCCGGATGCTTCTACATTCGTTTCCCATTTGTCTCCACTTGTCTTCCACTTGTTTCGGCCTACTCTGGATACACTTGGCCGCATGCTTTTACACTTGTCTCCACTTCTTTGCTTGGCAACCTGCTTAGACACTCTTGGCCGGACCATTGCCAAACTGATACATTTGTCGAACATGCATGGTGGGTTGACAGTTGTTACTGTAACATCTTTTTAACCAAAGCACAGCACGACAAAGCCACATGACAGTGCAACCCAGCATATTCAGTAGATTAGCGCGTGTTCTGTTTTCGTCTGAATTGCCGGTCCTGACCTTGAGGAGGGCTGAAACAAACCCAGAAGGTCCGAGTTGATCACCGCGAGCTGGAAACGTTCGGGCCGTTCACTGTTGACAGTTCTACGGGCCGAAGGCAGCCAAGCATCAGCTCTGGCGCCGGAGAGCCGTGTTACATACACCACTTGCTGAGAAGCCAGGTTGATTCAGTCCTGGCTAGCAAGTTACAATGGCGCAGCCGCCGACACAAGGAGCAAGAGCTCAGCCCACAGACTTTGCGCAGTAATTCGCACAGGTGATGGCATCAGAGCAGAACCAGCTAGAACAAACAATAGCAGAGGCACACACCCAGCAAACGGCCATCGCGCGAAACATTTCAATCAATGTGGAAGTGACAAGTTCAGCAGAAACTGGTACCTGGTGGGGTTCATGGTGCTTCAAGTTCAAGATGTGGATTGAAACAAGCCACAAGATGCAGGAAGGCACGTCCAATTGCTTGAGGAAAACAAAGAAACAGAGATCGAGATCAATGACACACCTTTGGAAGATGATTGCGTACTGAAGGAGCCGAGCTTGTTTCAGCTCAGGCCTGACTGGCTCTGATCTGCTTGTGCGAGGGAGAAGCCCTCGAGACTGTTTGGAGAATTACGTTGGTACCTCAAGAGGTCCAAACTTACTTTAGACTTTGGCTCGCCGTATGCAATCCACAGAGCCCGCAGGCAACCTCAGCCCTATTGAAGAAAGTTATGCATCCCCAGCAGTGTGCAATAAACAAACTTCGAGAAAACGTTGGAGCCTGGGAGAACATCAGGCAAAAGTATGAAGAGGGAAAGAAGTAGAAGAAACGCGACGATGATATTGCCCAGCAAAACTCCAAGATCACCTTGACCCCCAAAGCTCAAGCCTCATGAATTATGACGCCGTGAAGTCAGAGATTCTGGCCTATCTCGAGAACATCGAGAGCAGAAGAGAGGCACCAATGGGTGTTGATGCACTCGCCACTCGCCACAGCTGCCAGCCTGCCAGCCAGATGCAAGCTTCGCTTGCGAGCCTGGCCAAGGCCAAAGGAAAAGGCAAAGGCGGCCCAACAAACAAGGAAGGAACCAACGTGGAAGCAAGAAAAACGACAAAGGTAAACAGAAGGGTTCGAGTTGGTCCAATTCATGGAGCACGTCGTGGAACAGCGCGCGGTTCACGGAAGAGTCAGAGTGATTGGAACGAGAGTGATTGGTACAAGCGGCGCAAGCGCAGTTGGAATTACCACATTTCCAAAGGCAAAGTTTTTTAAAGGTAAGGGGTGAGAGTCAGAAGGTAGCCGCAGTTGAAGAGTCTGAAGCACTTGGGGCTCAAGAGCCCGAGACGTCAAGGCAATCCAAGACGCGATGCAGTTGAGAGGGAATTGTTCGAACGAAGGGCGGGTGAAGAGGAAGAGCCAAAAGTTGAAGAGCTTTCTACTCAAGAGTTGGCCAAGTTGAAGAAGGAGACTCAAGGGTGGACTGTGCTCTCGCGCCCAGCTTGCAGTGTCATCGGGAAGGCGCTCACTGCTGTAGGTCCATGGTCAAGCAGCGCGCCATGCCTGAAAGCGAGGGGCTTGCAACAAGACGAATGATTCCGGGCTATGGTCCCATCGTATGGCACTGAACTGTTGCCCACCACAGGTGTTGAATCCATGGGCGCCTGAATGGCATCAGCGCCAGAAGGCCAGGAAGGCCGCAAAGCAGAGGAAGGGCAGCCCTCAACGTGCTCCAGAATCGTTCCAAGTGGCGCTTGTGTGGCAGCCATGGAGGTAAGGGAAGCAAAATTCCATCTCTGCCTTAAAGAGATTTGATTGCAGCCATGGAGTGACAGGTGGCATATGTGACCAAGGCATTGTGGATGTCTACATGAACTTTGCGCTCCCATGTCCGCCGAAAGGAAACACGCCATTGGGTCCTTGTCAATGGCGTGTTTCCTTTCGGCCGAGGCGTCGAAAGATGTCTCAGCATGTCGCGGTCTGCTCAAAGCGTCATCCAAAGAGGCTCCAGCGCGGCGCAAGCCAAAAACTTCCCGCAGCGCCAGTTCATCGGCTTCGTTTGCGTCCGCTGCAGGCAAAAATCGAAATGATCACCGCACTCCTGCTCGGACGCGCTGACGCCATAGTATATGCATGCGCTCGCACTTGTAGCGATCCTTGTCATACTTCTCCTCAAAAAGACCTGTGCCGCTTGCCAGCGCTTCCATGTACTTCTCACCCAGAAGACAAGCGTCCCAGAACATTTTTCCCAAGCTTTTGCGCATCTCATTGTGGTGAGTTGTTTGCCATGCCCTATACCAAAGCCCTTGCCAAGCCGCCAGACAGCCCCGCGAGTGCCAAAACCAAGCTTGAAGTCGGCGCTGCAGCCTCCCTCAACTTACCGACCAACGGATGGAAAGACCAAGGGTCGTCGGTGGAGCAATCCACGCCAACGCCATGATCGCACCAAACAAAGCAGCAAGCAAGCTATAGCCGTGAATGACCGCGAACCAAGCACAATTGCCCTGAAGACTGGTGCAAAGAGCCCATTTCACCCTGGACCAACTTGAAGAACCCTGGGCACACGGGCAGCAACCCGAAGTCGTCGGTTGGCGCGTGGGCCAAATCCATCAATCGCGAAGGGTTACATTGGGCCGTTGCAACCACTATGCCCACAAGGCTGGAACCCTTCTAGCCCACAAGCCAGGCCCCCATCGCCGACCTTCATCTGTCACAACTCCCTCATGTTTCACTGCGGCCGTTTTGCTTGAATCGGGGTTAGAGAGGAAAGTGTGCCTCAGATTGAACCTATCCTTTCATCACTGTGACGCAGGGTCACTACGTTTGTGCGCCTAAAATCTCCGTTCAAGCCCACAGGGGTTGGAGTAAATGAAAGGGGAAATTGGTTTCCAAAACGTGAGCCGTAGCGCTACACTGCAGCCATGATCCTTGATCCTTGGTTGCTGTGACCCGAGGTGCAGTCATAGCGATCGCAGCGGCGGCTGCAACTGGATCCCTCTTTCATATTCATTGGGTTCTTTGCCAAGGTAAGGTAGGGTGTAGAAGTTATTGAAGTGTGCTGGCCACAGAGGAGACCGCCCGAACCTTCAAAGGACTTGCTACCGTAGGATGCAAGAGACAGTTTGCAACTCTGCATGGAAGGCTTTGCAACTTCGCCATGGAGCTCCCAGTTTCCAACTCTTCAGAGGCACGCGTCCTTCAACATCTTGAAGGTTATTTTTTGAGGTCTTCTATATGTGGTGTGAAGGAACACTGGGCGCAGTGGGTTGCAAGCTTTGCGTGGTGGCTTGAGGTCCACTTGTGCTTGCGTTGCCTGTCTTTGAATTGAAGAGATGTGCCTGGTGCGCACGGAGGCAGAGCTTTTGGGAGGAGGAAATTGTTCAGGACTGTGCCTCACGCAAGTGCCGCTGATCGTGATTTACACCCTTCTTCTTGTTTCTGCCTGGGCCTACTATGTAAGCACCCTTGTTGCAACAGTGGGTCGGCTGCTCAAGAGGAACCCTTGTAAGCTTCTGAGTAGTCAAGCTTTTGTGCTTTAGATCGGAGGCGGTCAACCTGGAGGAACAAAGATGAACGCATGTATTTGCGCGTGAGAACACGCGTATGAGAGCGAATGAGAGGTCCCATTGAAAGCGCTCGTGTGCAAGCACGCACACAAGACATGAGAGTCCACGTATCAGAGCGCAGGTATGAGAGAGCGCAAATATGAGAGCGCCGGCGTGAGAGCAGAGCGCGCAGGGGAGAGAGCGCGCGCGCGCGCGCGCCCACACACACACACACACACGCTTGCGACGTTCGTACGGAGCTGAAAGCCTCATGCCACACGCCCACCTATAAAGCCTAAGGAAACAGGGTCAGGTATTAGGTTAGAGGCCATCGCGCGTAGGTTGGAGGTCGGCGCAAGTAGGTTGGAGGCCGTCAAATGAAACAAGGGGTGAGATTGAGGGTGAAACTCAGTGGTTGTTTAGGTTGAGGCCCGGGCTCAGTGCAAACGGAAGTGATGGCCGTGGAATGAGGAAGTGCGCCGAGTGCCCACTATGGACCAAGCGAATGTAGAGAGGAGTTGTTCCGGAGCGTGTAGTCAGTGTAGTCGAACTTGTGGCAGTGGCAGTGGCTGGTGCCTGAAAGGTCGAATGTAAGGAGGAAGGTGGGGTGTGGGTAAGTGAAGGAGCCCGCGGCCTAGATGAGCATGGCCTTGTAGTAGAGGATGACCGCGGATCTTCAGAACGTCGTTGGCCGAAAAGAAGAGGAAGTAGTTCCGCAGGCCGGAGCCGTAATGGCGAGTTCAAGTATGTACGGGTCAAAGCGGAAAGGTGAAGGTGTTCGGGTGTGGGCATCAGGCTGAAAGATAGAAGGAAAGGTGGAGCCAGAAACTGCGGTGTGAAGTGGAAGTAATGAGAGTGCTACATGGATGGTCGAATACATAGACAAGACAAAACATGATGTTAAAATAACAGAAAGTGAGGAAAGGCAATACATGTCCTGAAAGATGAAAAAGAGAAACCACACGAAAAGGAGTGTTTTGCGTCGGGCGAATGAGGTATGTATAGCGCTACTCAGGATGGAGATTGGGAGTCCCGGGCGGTGGAAGCGGAGAACTGATTGTCTAGGAAACGCTGGCACGATCTCTTGCCATCGGGCTCGAACTTGATTGACAGGTCCGCGCATCCTTTGAGCAATGTATTTCCAACTAGGACGAAGGCGTTGATCCTCTTTGAGTGTAGTGAGGAGAGTGTCATCGAGTCATCTTCTCCATCCATCATGCCACGAAGCGGGTGGGGGCGGGGGAGGAGAGGAGGGAGTCCGGTGTGCGAGGTCGTTTCCAAGAACGGTGAGAGGCCGAAGGAGGAGGAGGGGGAGCCGGGGGGAAAGACGGGGGGTAGGCAGAGGAGCAACAGGGGAGGTGGGAGAAGTTGATGGACTGCAAGCCAGAAATGAGCGTTTTGCATATATCAAGGTGTGCACTTGGAAAACTGGCTGTTGACATTGAGATTAGTCGCATTTGGAAACTTTTGCGCCTGTTGTACAGGTCTTGTGAGGCATTCCGACATGCACTTTTGAGAAATATGTGTTTACATTGAATATTGAATTATTTGGAAGCATCTCCAGTCCACATTTCAATTTTTTTGCGGGTGCTTACACAGTTTAAACTATGAAGTTGCGATTTGAAAACCACATTTTGATTTACCAACATATTAAATTTTTGTGACCGTAGTAAAGGTCTTGTGGGGCATTTTGACATGAAACGTGCCAATGCTGTAGGTGTTTGCAGACAAAATTGATGAGTGCATAGGTGCTTTCAAGTAAAGCAAGTATGAAGCATGGAAGTTGTGGCATTCGCGCCCATTGAAAAGATTATGGATCTATGGATCCTTTCTTGATGGCTCCGAACCTCGATGCGCTGCACTTTTCTGCCTTCACTGCCATCGCCGACTCTTCTCACTCACATCTTCTTGTTCGACGTGCATTTGTGTTCTCAAACCTAGGATGATCAGTTTTTTCTTTTCTCGGACCGCCCGCCGTTTGTATATACAATTTTTGTAGATTGTTGAGCTCAAACCAAGTAAACATGCCTTGGTCATTGGATGTCCCCATCTATTGTTTCACTATTTCAGGTCAAAAGACCATGGGAATGGACACCATTCTAACATCCCATGTCGAAACCCACTGAAACATCTCCTCACATTTGATCTGCAGCCATGGACCCCGCAGCTCCATGTATGGTCTAAAATGCAACACTTTGCAAACATGTTGAAAGAGATTTTTTTGGACCAAAGGCTCTATTTCGCGAAATAGATCTCATTTATGTGAAATAACTTGTGCATAAGCTAGGTCAGCTAGGTGGTGAGGTTGAGTTGTGAGTTTTGTGAGTCGATGGCTCCCTCCCCTGTCCATTTTGGCTCAAGACCAGGAGCAGGGGAGGGAGCGCGTGTGGCAAATCGATGGATGACTTTGCGCTCTTCATTTCGCTCCTGTGGACGTTTGGTGTGATTTGTGGTTGGTGTGGGCGTGCTTGGTGGCAGAGTCGTGTTCCGGCATCACTTGACTTCGGTGTGACCCCGGTGACACTTCGAGCCTTTGCTGCATTTGATGACCGCTTCGGTCCTTCCAACAGCCACCGAGCTCGCCGCCATCACAAACCTTGAGGAGGCCAAACGATGGGCAGGGGCCAGAGATCCATCCTGCTCCGCCTGGCACCTCCGGGTGCTCGCCGAATTCCCTCCCGTACTGGTGGCACGCCAAGCTTTTGGGATGGAGGACGTAGACCCTTTGTCAGATTTGGGCAGTCCTGCTTCACCTGGAGCTTCATCGGCGGCAACGCCCTCAGCGACACGTGGAAAGAAAGTGAAAGCTGCTTCAGTCCTCGACCAGCTCGACGAGTCCGAGGTCCCTCTTCTGAGTCAGGCACAGGCTGGACAAAGCGTATCGCTTCCATGCCGAGATCACTGGTGCGGATCCTCCAGCGGATGCAGAGCCTGCTGGAGAGCAGATTGCAGCTCTCAAGGCTCGGGTGGTGGATTGTGGGGAAAGCCCCTACGCGGACTTCAGTGTCTTGACACAGATCGGAAGGAGGGTGCAGAAACAGATGAAGGCTCGGTCTTGGATGCTGCAGCAGGACGGGGCCTTCCGCGCACTGGACATCCTAGGTCCACCCTCGTTCGACGCTTGGGCTGCCTGCTGGAAGGTGTACCGTGCAGCTTTGTTCATGCTCAGGTACCCATCTCTGGTACATGGAGGACATCCTCGACGAGTTGTCACCTCAGCTTGCTTGGAAGAGTACTTTGAGAAAGATCATCAAGCTCAATGCCGAGTTCCCGATTGATGCAAGCATACCGCAGGCAGCCCTACAAGGCCTCGATCGATGAGAAGCTTCCCATGGGCTCAGTGGATTGGTGTCTTAACACACGCTGCGCGAGCCCCCGCCTTCTGGGACGAGCATGTGGTCAGGCCTGCGCAGAATTTCATTGCGCGAGGAGGCAAGCATGGACAAGGCCAGTCGCGCAACAATACCAGAGACTGCGCAGGAGATCATCGACAGAGCTGGGGCAGTCGAAGGCAGCGAAGAGACGGAGAAAGAGAGTCGCGAGAGATGGTATGCGCAGCAACCAACAGGCTCGTCATGGAGCTCATGGAATCAGCAGCAATGGGATGGGGCGAAGAACGACGGCAGCAGTTCGAAGGAGTGGAGATCTGCTACAGGTTTGCCAACGGGCCTGCAAACAGTTGCCCGGAGCCGTGCAAGGAGGGCAGGAATCATGCCTGTCACCCAGATTTGTTTGGGCCGACATCCAAACGCCCAATGAGGAGGCAAGAACAAATGCCGACGAGGGCAATGGCTGCATGAATGATGGGGACCTCAGCTTGGAGGACGATGGCGAGCCATGGTTCGAGGAGGAGTCAACAATGTTGCAGAAGGCCAGCCGCCGTCACAGCTGGATCCGCGAATGCGGAAATTGAGATTCCGGAGTTGCTTGTCAAGGGCCTTAAGAGAATTGGTTGGCGACCTGGTCGAAGTCAATGGAGCCCAAAGACCTCTGTGCGGACTGGGACATCAGAACCGAAGAAGCGTGCTGCATTTCCTAGCAAGTCGTTCACATGGGCGCAAAGGTCCGACCAATATGGCACTACAGTGAGGCGCGCTCGGAGGATCACCCAGAAGGCTGGGGACACCCACTGGTAGCAGAGGGCAGCGGACCATCGCACTAGGGTTCGGTGCCACCCAACGAGGCAAGTTCTTCAGCGTGGAGAATCCAAAGAATTCGTATGCTTGGTTGATCAAAATCATGGAGCAGCTGAGGAAGTACATGCGCACCGAATTGGTGTGCCTGGATCAGTGCCCCTATGGAGAGACAGTCAAGCCCACAGGCGTCGTAGCAACAGCCCCCTGGATGAAGACGGTGCGCCGATTTCACGCATCAACTCACCGAGCAAGATGCCTGGTGGGTGGACCAACGTTGCACGCGCAAGGACCCCAGGTCGGAGTGGAACTGTTTGCCGTTTTGCTTGCATTTAGAGGAATTCACAATCTCATCAGAGGAGGAGGGCATAAAGTGTTTCTCAGATCGGATAATGTTTCAACCGTGTCTTGCATTCAACCGCATCGCGGGAGAGCTGGTTCTCGAAATCGAATCGCTTGAGTTGGCCCCGCTGGAGGGACGTCATGTTCGCGGACTGCTCAACGCCGATGCGGACACCCTGTCCAGAGGCTCCGCGCCTTCTGCGCACGTTGGCGTCGAGCAGTTTGTGTTGACTGAGGCAGCGAGGCTTCTCAAGCGTTGTGCGTGAACCGGTCGCTCGTCGCTTCTGCAGTGACCCAATCGGCCAGGCGTGGCTTCGGGCAGCTGGTGTACGCAGCAGGGTCGAACGACGCGAAAGCTTCCTTGTTCAGGACGTGGTCCGAAGTACAGGCAACTAGCGGCTTTGCGGCATTGCCACTCACCCAGAGAAATGCGAGACCTTTGTAGCGATCCTGCGGGCAGCTGGATATAGATCTTCATTCTCTTACCTCTTACCTCTTGGAGGCCAGGCAACAACATCTCAGAGCTGGATTAGGATTCCCGTGGAGCCACCAGTTGGACATTGTCCTCAAGGATTGCAAGAGGGTGGCCAATGAGGGGCTTAGGACCGGCCAAGCGTTCTGAGGAGATTCGGCTCGAATGGTGGCAAACCTTGTGTGACATTGAGGGCTTGAGTTCGGTGGCATTTTACTCTGGTCACTGGGAAGCCACTTTCTACTCGGGACGACGAGTTGGCCAGGCTGGCCATGTTGGAGGTCGATTCCCATTGATGAGGTCGCGGAAACGGTCACCCTGTCGTTGTCTGTCAGCAAGTCCGACCCCGGAGGTAGGACGGCCAGAAGAACACTCTGGTGCGGCGCGGACAACGACACAGCCTTTCATGGCTTGCGTTGCGCTTTTGAAGTAGGAGTGGAACTTGTGGAAAGGCAAAAGGCTCGCACGAAAGCACGTCGGCTTTCTCCATTCCTCTGGTGCGAAGACGGGAGAATCCCTTCGCCTTCACCACCAAGGCTGATGTAGTGGCTGCAGTAGGGTGTCCCGGCCCCTTGCATGCGCTTCGAAAGGCCCGGAAGAGGGCCTTGGAAAGACTACATCACGAGGCGCGCGCGAGGTGCGTGGGAAAGGTGTGAGCCTCAATCCTTGAGACTTCAACCACGCTCCTTTCTCCACCATCCTGAGAGATAAAAGTGCATCCTTTCTTGTTAGGGTTGGTAGGGTGGGGGACTGCTTGCGCAAACGTGTTATTATGTCTAAAAACAGAGCAACTCCGAAACTGCAATACTGTGGAAGTGCATTCCAAGCGCCGGTCCTTTGGGGCCTCCGCAGTCCAAACCGGGTCGGATTCAGCTAAAGACACGCATGGCCGCATGGTGTCCTATGTAAGCCCGTGTTAACAATTGACCAGGAGCAGTGGAAAACACTTCTGGAGCGGATGAATGACCGTGTGATGCTAATTGAGACTGGCTTGGAGAGTGCTCAAGACAAGGCTTCAACCTGTTTTGCAAACGCAAATAGGAATCCAAACTTGGCTATATTGTATTTTTTGTACAATGACGACTACCTGTTTGCATGTTGGTGGCAGGTGGATGTCGTATCCCATTCGCCAGCGGCTCCTGCTCTCTGGATTTTGATTAGTTTGCTTGGTGTTACCTGTCTTCTTTTCTCCGTCATCGGCTTGTACTGTATGTTTTCACTGACCTTGACAGCCAGGCCAGGGTCGAAGGATGTTTCTTGTCATCTTTATATCATTTCCATAACGTTCAAGCAGGCATATGCACAAACATCAACACACATACGTACACGTCTTATGGTTAATTCCTCTGATGACCCGATGCTTGACAGCTAGTTACTGGAATGTGTGACAGTTCCTTCTACATGAGCTTTAGATGCAAGTTCTTAGTAACGCCAGCGAATTTGTAGCCTCAAAGAATGAAGGAGTGGAGAGCCACAAGATTGAAAAGGCAAAGTACTCCGTACTGCGTACTTGTGTCCAAGTCTGTTTTAGCAACTAAAAAAGCATTGCGTGAAGCATGAGCTGCTTCAATCGGCTTTTTCCATGTAGCCGCGTAGCTCCATCAGCCTTGCTGTTGTTTGGCTCCATTGCAAGCCGACCCAAAGATGTTCAACAAATACTAGATTCTTTACTAGACTTGCCTGTGACTCAGGAAGAGCTTGATAAAATCTTACTTGTAAGTATCATGAAAGCTTCTTCGTGCTTGCGCTTGTCCTTCTTTTTGTGGTGGCGTTCTTGCCGTGTTTTTTTGCCACGTGAGCCGGCCCTTGGCTGCATGCTTGCGGGTACCTCGCATGTCAGAGCAACAGTGCCCTTGCCAATGTTTGTGAAAACATCCGAAACCAATGGAAACCAGCTCCAGTTTGAGGCATTCTGTAGTGCTCTTCCCCATGCTTTTGCATTTTTCTCATGCGGATGCATAGTAGATTTGCACGCGGCGCGCCTTGCTCGCGAAGAATATGTTGTGTGACGAGCGGCAGTTGCATATTTTTTGTGCTCAGGTTGTGAGGGTGTTTGGTGCTGAGTTTATTGGTCCTGTCCAGGCAAATTAAAGAAGTCAAACGCCCTGCTCTCCGCGCTGTTCTTCATGCATTAGCATTAGAAACTCCTTCACCGGACAGAACATTGGACGCAGAGGCGTCTTTGAAAGCAGTGCAGTCGCCGCGTTGAATGCAGCTACTGCCCCAGCCTGGCAGGTGACTCGACGAACTTTGAGGTTTTTCAGAAAAATTGCTCCGCCCATTGCCCTCGCCGAGAGTGTAGCAGCAGCAATGCAACGAGAGCAAGAAGAGCGAGCCGCTGCTTCACGTGGGTGTCTCCTCTGAACATTTTCAATCGTGTTGAAATTATGGTGGGAGAGTCACTTTGGAACACAAGTTTTAGTTCACTTTGGAACACAGGGTTCTAGTTCACTTTGGAAGACAAAAGATGTGTCACTTTGGAACACAAAACAAACCAAAAACATGGAAGTTAATAAAAAGCGAGATCACTTTGGAACACAACACACCTGGTTTTTTGGGTCACTTTAGAACACACACAGACACGGATGGGGATGGGGTGGGGTGGGGGGGGCGTTGATAACGTCTGTCTGGACATTCATCTACATGATGATCTCTTTTTGCTAATTGCTTCCACAGTACCATGTAACACAGATTCTCTGCGTTTGATCGATGTTGTTGGGTTGGGATGGTGGGGTGGGGGGGTGGGGTGGGTGGGGGGGGGTGTTAATAACGTCCCTCTGGATATTCATCTACGTGATGATCTCTTTTTGCAAATCGCTTCCACAATACCATGTAACACAAATGCTCTGCATCCTTCATTCATTCACTCATTCACTCACTCACTCAGTCACTCACTCACTCATTCATTCATTCATTCATTCATTCATTCATACATACAGCAAGAGCACTCATATATACAAAGACGCAGGCGTCTTGCTAGTGGTTACGGTGGCCTCCAATCTATTAGCGATGGCCTCCATAGTAGTAGCGATGGCCTCCAACCTACTAGCGATGACGCACGTTCCAAAGCGATCGCATTCCTGCGTTTCGAAGCGATCGTTTTTCTGCGTTCCGAAGCGACTGCGCCACCATCCCCACCAGTCCAACCCACTAGCGATGCGGCACGTTCCAAAACGATCGCTTCGGAACAAGCCGTAGGCTAGCTAGAGTAGAGCTATGGACCCTATGGACGATGACGTTGTACCGAACGCCCATGGCAGTGGGTCTGACATTTTTCCGAGCTTTGCCATTGGTGCAAATGCAGTTCAGAGGCATGAACAAGCAATTGCTGAATCACAACAAATGTTGGCAGCAATGTGACCACAGGCAACTTCGGAGGCATTCCAGCAGGTGCTTAATAGTGACGGCAATATTTCCCTGCAGGAAGCCGCGCAAGCCACCTTAGCCGGTGTGCCGTCAGCCGCCGTAATGGGCGCGCCAACGGTGAACAACAAGTTGGCAACGACTAGGTTCAACGTTGTCAACGTTGTCAATGTCAACGCGGGCGTTGTTGATGCAGAGTTGAGGAGCAGGCAAGGCAAGAGACAGAGTTCGAGGCGCTCAGGTTCAGAAGTTTGTATGAGCGCGAGGCCTCAGAGTCATTTGCAGCAGCAAAAGTTGCAGCAGAGTCAGCCGTTCAGAGAGTTCAGCAACAGGCTCAACAACATGTTCAGTACCAGGACAATGTTGCAACAAGGAGATTGCAGGAAACATTGCGTGAGATTGGAGGTCTTGGAGACCAGATCTCCCTCATAGAGGTGATGAACATTTCCAGGATCGGTTGGCGCAGGCCACGAAAGCTCACGAGCAAGCAGTTCAGGAAAGGAATAGATTAGCAATGAATTGTTCGGAAGGCAGCAGCTATTTGGAGCAATTGAAATCAGAGCATCAGCAATATGTTGAACAAAATGAAGCTAGATTGCAGGCAGCGGCAAAAGCAACGCAACAAGCAAGGGCTACAGCAGCTGATGATGCTAGCAAAGTCATTGGGTTGGAGTTCAAGCGTGATGAACTGACAAGCTCCTTGACAATAGCTCAGGCAAAAGTGAAAACACTTACAAGCGAAGTGGAAGCAGTCAAGAAGCAGAGTGACTTTGACAAGGAATTTCAGGAACAAACAATCAATGAACTCAGGCAGGACAACTCTAAGTTGAAGGAGGAGATGGATGAGCTTGGCGCAAGCATTGTCCAATGCAAACAAGGCAACAGCCCGGGAGCCACCGCCTGATAGTCCCACTAAACCAGGACTATTTCATCCAGAACCCCCCAGCGCCAGAGGAGAAACCTGGAATATCCCCTGTCGGAGAACCTCGTTCTTTTGGACCACTACGAACAAGAGGGTTCAGTCCGCGCAACCGTAGGTGGTTTGCCCCCAGATCATGGTAGAGCTCCGGTGCAAACTGCAGTGGAGGCAAATGCAAGCAAGCGCAATACAGGATTTCCATCAATGTTTTCTGGAGCAGGGGCAGCTGCGACAGAGAAACCATCAGCGTCAACAGACAAGGAAAAGTTGGACACCTCAGATCCTTGGGCAGCGTACAGGAGTAAGTCGGAAAAATACAACTTCAATGACGATCCGTTGCTCACCGGCTCTAACAAGGACATCAACGGTGGCAAAGATGAACGAAAGGACAGGCGCCGCCATCTCAGGTACGCACATCCCAAGAACCAGATCTAGTCGAAGTAATTCGAAAGGCTTTGCTAGAGGGGTTTAAGGGTGCTAAAAGTAAAGACCATGATAAACCCAAGGCAAAGGAAGCAGATAAAATAGAGCTCCCAGAATTTCCTAGTCTTGACCGGCGCCGCGCTCAGATGCCGCGTTCGCGTCGGTGCTTGAAGTCTATGCCCTCCGCGAGGACAAGGCAAAGCTCTGCTCGGAGCTGGCAGACCCAGGCAAGTTCCGGACCTTAGATACGAAACTACTTGCTGCTTTGACGAAGGTTGCAAAGGGCGAGTTGTCTCAGCAGATCCGTAACTATAAGGAATCTGAGGCGCAGCAAGGTAGGATCGTTCGCGGCCGTCAGGTTTTGCTCATGTTTGAAGTCCTTTTTAAAACTAATGAGGAAGCGGGCGCCCTTTACGGAACAGAAGACCTCCTCAAGATTTCGCTTGACAGCGATGACTTAAAGTCCTTTCTCAGGAAGTGGGAAAATGTCTTGACTGGAATGAGCCACGTCCCGGACCCAGCTACACTTAAGGATCTTTCTATACAAAGGTTAGGAAGCCCCGTAAACTCAGACTCGACCTTGATGTCTATGAACGCGCCCCAGAGGGAAGCAATGACAGAAGCTATGAATTTCTAATTAACTCTGTCAGACGGTATCTCGACAGAGAAAGGCTAAGGACCAACAGAGAGAAAATCTCTCAATCGCATTCCGCAAAGTATGCAAAATTCGGCGCCGCGTGACAAACGCACACGAAGCCCTAGTTATGGCAAACGCAGCGCAAAGGGTGAGAACAGCAACCAATGCTATGAGTTCGCCAAAAGTGGCAAGTGCAAGTATGGCAGCAAACGCAAGTACTCGCACGACTATAGCGCTCGTCGCCGTTCCTCCAGTAGGAATCATCGCGCTCGCGTAGTGCTAGTTCTAGTGGTCGCTCTTCGTTCAGGTCAAGCCGCTCAAGAAGTTCTTCGAGACCGTCTTCCCGTAGCAGCTCTAGAAATTCATCAAGAAGCTCAAGTAGGGGCAGAAATTCTCAAAAACCGTGGAGGGTCTTTGTCAAGGGCAATTGCAAAAGGGGTGACAAATGACCATTTAAGAATGGCGAAACGGCAACGCCGGCCCCACGTAGACGCCGCCCGTCTCCCGCAGCTAGAAAGTCCAAAGACAAGAAGTCAAAGAAGGACAAGAAGGACAAAAGGAGCAAAAAGGAAAAGGAGGAAAAGAGCCCAAAGGCCAGTCCATGTATTCAGACAGGTTTCGCATTGTGTTGCTCAGCAGCAAGACTACTGGGAATTATCCAAAGATGGCGCAGGTTTCCCACGCGCGCCACCCCCGTTCCGCATGGCCTACAGGCCAAGTCGATGATTGACGACGGGTTCCTCCACGCCTTGGTGGATGATTTCGGGAAGATGGACAAGTATTGGGAAGGAATGGCTCGGGAATTCCCCTTGCATCCGATGGCAGCGAACCGGAGCCGCTGGAAAAGTACAATCGGGTGTACTTTGTATTGTGGCTTGGATTCGATAGGTGGGTGGTTGCAATTCTTTTCTTTTTCCCTCCAATATTATTGCCATCTACCTCCCCACACGTAAATCCTGTCCTGTGGAGTCATCTAGGCTGGAAGACCAGTTCACTGTTACCGACCCCAAGGGGAAGAGTGGGACAATGAAGGGTAATTGGAAGAAACGCCCAAACGCGAAACAAGGATTTGACTGGGCGGGCAAGTCGGCTTTCCGTGTTTTGCAAGACAAGCGAATTCGTTTTGAATTCAATCCTGAGGTGCATACCTTCCCTGTTTGGAAGGACACGTGCCGGCGTGTGGTGAATAAGAGCAGAAAGCGACACCTGTTCAGGACCATTGAGGAATGTCCCAATTCCCGCAAGTGTGATTTTGGCAGCGGAGTCACTTAGGCAGATGCTCGTGTCAATGGACACCGAGGAGCCTGCGTGTGATTTCCTTTGTGATCATTCGCCAGAAGGCCCTGATGATCTGTGCTGCGCAAAGTGCAGGACGGTCGCCGGTGAACAGGTGCCTCTTGTGCTCGCGTAACTGCGATGCCAAGTACAGTAGGCATGGAGAAGTGGCTAGGAGATACCGGTACCGATCAAGACATTGTAGGTAAGGACTCCAAGACCGTGAACAGAGCCACTAGGACTTCAAGTCCAATGAGCCAATTTCCCTCACCACTGCAAATGGTTGTGTGCATCCTTTGCCCTACATCCTCCAAAGCAACCCATCAGCTCTTTCTATTGGTTTGAGATGTTTGGAACAGGGGTATGACTTTGTTTGGGGAAAGGATGCCACTCCCATTTTCTTGCGACCTGATGGACAATGTGTCAAATTCAAACTTCAATAGGGTCCCATATATAGATGAAACGTGCGCCCCATTTCCCATTCCTGAGTCGCTAAGGAATCGTCTCACTAACATACTCGACTCCATCCACCAGTTCACCATCGACCAAGGCTTTGCTATGGCCAGCCGACAGTCTGAGCCTGAACAGGAAGGGGAGGATGATGCCGGCGTAGCTGCCAATGCCGATGAGGAACAGGAGGAGGACGAGGGTAGGATCCGGAAGAGGAAACTCCTTTTGATTTTGAAGAAGTTCGCGTGGCAGGGGAGAAGGCCCAGGAACAGCTTCGCAAAGAA